TTAATTTTTAAGAGGAAGTTGATACAGTGAGAGAAAATATGACAAGTGCACTTGTCAGGTTATCTGGACTTCTAGGATTTATTTGTGGACTTCACCTGTATTTTAAATGGATCTCATTACCTCTTCTGTCCTTTCTTTGGCTATGGTGAAATGTGAATAGTATTGTTACCCAACTTCCTTTATATATGTGTAAGGAATATCAGTGAGTTATAGCAAGAATCAGAAATCCTTAAAAGAAAGGTGATATATCAAGGTACTATTAAAATCATGGCAACTTGAGAACTCTAGAATATTTAATGAGTTACAACACTAATGGATAGCATAAAACTTGGACTCCTTTCTTGATTCTGCAGTAGAACTTACTGAGTGACTTTGGGCAAGGAATAGTACCATGGGCTGATTTTTCTCATCAGCATAAAATTAAGAGAGGATATTCTGGGAAGGATTATAATTCCATCTTCCTCCTCACTTGTCGGAGGAATAATTTGCCATGCTCTATGTTAACGAAAAGAAAGATAGAAGCAATCTAAACCACAACGTTTTGGTTGTTAGATTGACGGTTACAAATTCAGTGGCCCCCATGAGAATCCTTATACTTACTCCATGCTTAGGTTAAGTCTCCTTTACACTTGTCTCTGCTGTGAGCAGCCTGGAATTTGTGCACAGGCCTTTCCCTGATGGAAATAGTCTGCTCATGGATAATCATACCGAATTCATTAAGAGGCTTACTGTGCGTTCATAATATCAGCTCTGCTAAACCTCTTTAGATAGGGCCCAAGGTAGTAGGACTTTTAATAATCTTCACTCCATAATAGATAATGTTATTGTGGAGGTCTAGCATATGTATTTAGTACTGTGCAATTTGATAAACTAATGCATGGTTGCTATCATATTGAGATGGTTATTTTTTTACTGGTCTCTTGCCCAAGACTGTAAAACTCTAAGAGGGCAGAAACCATATATGTCTTGTTCACCTTTGAATCCTGAATGCCTAGCACCATAAACGGGTGTAAAAAATATCTCTTAGAGACCCCGCTTTCATTTCTTTTGTGTATATACCAAGAAGTGGAATTGCTAGATTGTATGATAGTTCTGTGTTTAATGTTGTAAGCTGGGCGTGGTGACTCATGCCTGCAATTCTAGCACTTTGGGAGGTCAAGGTGGGAGGATTGCTTAAGGCCAGGAGTTCAAGACTAGCTTGGGCAACATGGTGAGACTGTGTCTCAATAAAAAATTTTTAAAAATTAGCTGGACGTGGCAGCTCACACCTGTAGTCCTAGCTACTCAGAGGCTAAGGCAGGAGGATCCTTGAGCCCAGGAGTTCAAGGTTGCAGTGAGCTATGGTCACACTACTGTACTCCAGACTGGGTGACAGAGAGAGACCCTGTCTCAAAAAAAAAAAAAAAATCTTTTAAGGAAGATTTTAAGGAAAGTTTTCTATAGTGGCTATACCATTTTATATTTCTACCAGCA